CTATGTCCTCATGATGCATTGTTCTTTTATATGTTTTTGGATTAATTATATAAAATTTTGTATAGAAGTCCTGTCTATGTTCATGAAGATATTGGTCTGTAGTTTAATTATGATGTCTTTGTCTGGTATTGGTATCAGAAGGACTAAGGAAGGGTTCACTCTAAAGTTTCCTTAGAGAGTTTGTTTAGAATGGATTATTATTTAAATGTTTAGTAGAATTCACTTAGGCTTGGAACTTTTTCATAGGTAGGTTTTTAACCACAGGTTTAATTCCTTTAATAGATATTGGACTTTCCAGGTTTATTTATTTAAAGGAATGTAGTAAATTTGTAAAACATAAAATTTACCCCTTTAACCCTTTTAAGTGTTCAATTCAGTGTGTAGCTGTCACCAATATTCACTTCCAGAACTTTTTCATCACCTCAGACAGAAACTCTGAACCAATTAAACAATAATTCCCCACTTCGCTTTCCACTCAGCTTCTGGTAGCTTTATTCTTCTTCCATCTCAGTGAAATTTTCCTATTCTCGGTATCTCATATCAGTGGAACCATACAGTATTTGTCATTTTGTGTCTGCCTTACTTCACTTAGCATAATGTTTTCAGGGTTTATCCATGTTGTAGCATGAATCAGAATTTCATTCCAATTTATCGTTTAACTAGGACTATAGGTGGCACATGGTAGCATGAGTCTGTAATCCTAGCTAGTCAAGAGGCTGAGGCAGGAAGATCAGTTAGGCAGCTTATAGTTGGATTTTTAAAAGATATTCTTTTGATCGGAGAGTTTATTGAATTTCATATAATTACCAGTAAGGAAAGGCTCCTACCATCTTACTACTTGTTTTTTTAAAGAATTTTTGTTCTTATTTCCTCCATTACTGCCTTCTTTTATGTTTAGCCGATTTTTTGTAAAGACGTGCTTTGATTCCCTTTACATTTTCTTTTGTGTATAGTCTATAGATATTTTCTTTGATCTATTTCTTTCTGAGCAATTCTAGTAGTCTTTAGTCTTTCAAAGAAATTGTTCATTTTATATATTGTCAAATTTATTGTCATAAACTTGTTCATGACATTCCCTCATTATCCTTTTATTTAACCTCTGTGCAGTCTATAAATAATGTGATTTTTATCATTCTTTTTTTTTTTTTTTTGAGTTGAAGACTCACTCTGTCACCCAGACTGGAGTGCAGTGGCATGCTTCCGGCCACCACAGCCTCGACCTGCTGGGCTCTGGCGATCCTTCTGCTCAGCCTTCCAAGTAGCTGGAACTACAGGAGTGCACTACCACACCCGGCTAATTTTTTGATTTATTGTAGAGAGGAGGTCTTGCCAAGTTGCCCAGGCAGGTCTCGAACCCGCGGGCTCAGGCAGTCCACTCACCTCGGCCTCCCAAAGTGCGGGATTACAGGCTGAGCCACCAAGCCTGGCCCTACCATTCTTAATGATAATTTTTGTCTTCTCTCTTTTCCCGATCAGTTTGGCTAAAAGTTTTATTGATGTTCTTTATAGACTGGCTTTTAGTTCCATTGAATTTTTTTTAAAGTTGTTTTTTCCATTTTTGACTTCTGATTTGAACTTTATTTCCTTTCTTATGTTTGCTTTGGATTTTATGCTTTTTCTATTGTCTTAGCTTAGAACCTTGGATCATTGATTTGAGATCATTTTTCTTTTCTGATATGGGCATCTTGTACTACAAGTTTTCCCAAAATTATTGCTCTAGTGGTATTCTACAAATTTTTATGTTGTGGTTGTTTTTTTTTTTCCCACCCAAAATATTTAGTTCAGGCTAGGCACAGTTTCTCAGATTTATAATCCCAGAACTTCAGGAGGTTGAGGAGGGGGGATCATTTCAGCCAACCTGGGCAGCATAGCAAGACTCCGTCTCTACCAAAAAAAAAAAAAAAAAAAGACTAACTGGTTGTGTAGTACACACCTGTAGTCCCAGCTACACTTGGGAGGCTGAGGGAAGAGAATTGCTTGAGGCTAGGAGTTCAAGGCTACTGTGAGCTATGATTACGCCCCTGTACTCCAGTCTGGGTAGCAGAGCAACAACCCAGTCCCTACCCCTCCAAAAAAGGTTTTTAGTGCAGAATTCTTAATTTTTCTTTGAGCAATTTGATTATGATGTCCCTTGGTTTAGTTTTCTCCATGCATCTGTGTTTGGGGTTCATTGAGCTTCTTTGGTCTGTGGGTTTATATTTTTCATCACATTTGAAAAATTTTTAGTCATTATTTCTTTAGATTTTTTTTGTTTCCCCTTTTCTTTTTCAATTCAAATTGCTTGTATATTAGACTATTTTAAACTGTCCTACAGATCACTGATGCTCTCTCATTTTCTTTGACTCTCTTCTCCTGTTTCCTTTTGAGTAGTTTTTATTGCTGTTTTCACATTCACTTATGTTTTCTTCTGCAATGTCTAATCTGCTATTGATCTCATCTAGTATATTTTTTATTTCAGACGTTGCCATTTTTATCTCTAAAAATTCAACTCGGATCTTCTTTATAGCACACATGTCTACTTAAGTTTTTGAACATATGATATACGGTTATAATTGTTTTTTATGTCCTTGTTTGCTAATCTTAACATCTGAGTCTGTTCTGAGTCAGTTTCTATTGGTTGATTTTTCTCCTCTTTGACACAGCAAATGCTTCCTTCCATTTATATGTTTTAGGCTCCCATTCACAAATATCTATTGTTGTGTTCATATTTTCTTTGGTAAATGTTTATGTTCCACTAACTGCTTCAAAACCTTTCTTAATTATATTTTCTTATAACGAAACTGATTTAAAAATTATACTAAAAATGCAAGCACAAATAAGAAAAATGCTAATATGGCAGTTCTTTTACTTCTGCTATGAAATCCTTGTCACCCACATGAAGAGGTTGAAAAGATGGTTTAATCAACTCTGGTAAAAAGTTGACAAAATCAAATTTAGCAAAGAGACTCCCACTGCTGCCACCAATTAAGACAGATTATCTGCCCCCTTTTATAAAAGAGAAGAACCAGGCATGGTGAAGAAGCAGCTTTAGCATGTGAGAGCTCAAGAGTTCAATTGCTGCATGTGAGATTCACCAGAGGAACTAAGGGAAGATGAATATGGGAACTTCAGGGATCTATATAGATTCAGGTGAGGTCCTCTTTCAGGCCACTCCTGTCTGTTGGCTTTGATGGTAGGACTTGAGTGAACTGTGTCTCCTCTGGGCATTATTGGTAAGTTCCAGATATAATATGTCAAAAGAAAACTTGGAGGCATTGTTAGTTATCCACATGCAAATTATTCTTATATTAGAGACAGTCAACAAACATATGCAAAAAGGAGAAGGAGGAGATGGGGGGGCAAGGAGGAAACCACAAATGTTTTGGAATCAGTGAGTTTCTTTTCTTAGATAAACTAATTAGCTTATAGCTCGGAAAGAGGCCAGACTGCCCTTTAACATGCATCTGGGGCTATTGAGGAAGAAAATTAGTTCTTTGTATACTCCCTGAAAAACCTTTGGAGTTTAATTGCAGAGTATACGTGACAGGCTATCTCTATGTACTGTCTACCAATGGCCCTAATTTAATACTGGTACCAAGTCAGTACCATTTCCTCTGAATTTCCTCAGATTTTGTGAGGTTTTTTTAAAGAGCAATAAGAAGATAATGTAAATAATTTTATATTGTTTATATAGATGGTTCCACTTTTAAAATAGCATAATATCTCTTTATGTAGACCTGGTGAATACAAGATTATTTAGTATGTGGGATTTTTAGTTTAGCTGCAAATAAATTTTATACTTAGGTTTTTCCTTGAACAGTGTAATCAGCACTGTCCTTTCACCAAGATTGTTCGTCATTCTAGGTGTGGCTTTATCAACTTCTTTATCATCCTAGCCCAAAGCACCACACTTAAAAAAAAATACCTTTGACATACAGAAAGACCTAGCATAATGCACATTTTGAATGTTTTTATTGTCTAATTTGTGTATGTAATGAAATCACCAGAAGTCATCCAAGAATTACTGATAGATTTCCATATTGGTGACAGGTGTTCTATGAAGGCTTTAGTACAAGATGGTGCTGTTCATCTTAGGTAGGCCTGTTCTGAATTAATTATGACTACTAATAAGATATTTTGAAAGTTTCTTTCCAAGCTTCTTGAGTTAATGCTTTCCCTCTGGCCAGTGTGGTAGACTGAATATTGTTGATACTCTTTAAAGACATGTTGGCAGGTACTATTCATTTAAACCAGATGTCATGTGTCAACTCCTTTTTCTAGATAGAGAGAAGTTTCTTTTTTGGCTGCTGTAATAAAGGCTTTATGACTTCTTATGAAACTCTTCTTTTCTTTACTTAAACTAGTACTTGTAGAAACTTTTCATAGAACTTTGGGCATCCCTCTTCCACTTATGAAGATTCCTAGAGGCTTGAGTGTAAGTGTCCATGTGTAAATTTTTTTTTTTTTTTTTTATTTCTTAAAACTAGTACTGTTTTGGGGATAAAAACAAACAGAATTCATAAGAAAAGGAATGAGTGGACCCCATATTTTTACTAGTCTGCAATGCTGCTTACAGTGAAGGAAGATCTGAGTTAGTGACTGACTGGTGGTAGATATCTCTCCTGACAGTAGTGTGTTGGGGTTCAGGGAGCTCCTGAAAACTGCCATGACCTGTAGTCACCCATGCAGTCTTCTCTATATTAGCACTGTGATTCTAGCTCTTTACTTTTAACATGCATAGTCAGTCATCACCTGAAATTGAGTATTATTTTTCCTTTTTGGAAGAATGACAGCTAGGTGAGTGTTTGTATTCTACAAGCATTTGATTTTCATTTATTCTGATTAAATCCTAAGCTGCTGAATTTTAGTAACACTTTTTCTTTACATACAGAATTCTAAGAATTTGAGGTGTGAGTTGGGGCTTTTGACAAAGTGACTTTTCTGTTTCCTAGTTTTCTTGGTAAGGGGTTTTAAAAGTATATTTTACTTGAGAGACTTATCAAAATTTTCATTTTTTCAAGGTGTTGACTTTAAAGTGAAAACAATTTCTGTGGATGGAAATAAGGCTAAACTTGCAATTTGGGTAAGAGCTTTTTAAATGTACTTTTTATAAATGTTAAACTCGTACTTTTTGGGATGTAGAAATTGATTTGTGTAGTGTTCTAGAGGTGAATGAACAATTTGTATTAAATAACTTCTGGGAGATTTGATGTTGATTAAAGGATAAACAATAAAGAGTTCTATCTTATAACTGGGTAATTAGAGATTTGCTTTACTTAAATTTTTAAAATGTATAATTCTTTATGACTATTCCAAAACAGAAGAGAATATTAAAAAGTCATCTGCCAGAGAGAATCATTGTAATTGAATATGTTTCTTTAAAGTTTTAAAAAGACCATCTAGACTGAACTAACTCTAAAGGCAGTTGTTGAAGGGATGAGGAGTGAAATGATTCTTGGAAAAAAATATTTTTTCTGTTTTTTTAGTATAGATGTTTCTAATATTTGAGTTTGCCAACTTTAGGTTTATTTTTTAATACTTCCTTTTTCCTTACTGGCTTCTTTTCATTTTCCTGTGAATCCAACGAATCTGATCCACATCGTTCTGCTATCTAGACCTCTTCATGCTAGTGCAGAATAAGGTAGCATTAACTGTCAAAAATACCCAAGATGCTCAGTGCCTAGGTCTGTCTCTTTTTCTTCCATCTGTCTGCCTACTTACCTACCTACCTACTTATCTATATCTTTCTCCCAATTAAGTATGGTTGGTCATATATAAATATTTACTACATATACCAATTTTAAAACATACTCATATAATTTTAATACTCTAATTTTCCTGTGTACTGTGATAATTAAATATATATAATGTTTATAACATATGATAAATAATATTAGAACTATCAGCAGTCATCAAATTGAGACATTCATACTTCCAAATGGTAGTTAAATGGTAAATGCTGTTTCACAGATTGAAACATCAAGTGTTCATGCATTGCATGTCATTTATCTTCTTGGTTTTCTCTGAATGACACAGTATTTCTAACGTACATTTTATCTTCAAATAATGAGTAACTGTATAAATTTGTTTAATATTTTTGTCAGTTTTTAAGTTACAGTACTTTAAATGACTTTTACCCTATTTTTCATACTTCCCCAAATATTCTTTATATCAATTGGAACAATAATGTCTAACAAAACAGTCTGGGAAATGTTGGACTGGATTATGGTAAAATATATTGAATAATGTAATAATGCTAGCTTTTTCTGTACTAATTTCCACATGCTTTTCATGGTTGATTTATCACCCCTTTCTGTCCTTGCTACTGCTTTGTGAAATATATAGATTAGAGCAGGATCTGAGGCTTGCTGATTGCAGTGAGATTTTTCTTTCATACAGGAGGTTTTGTTTTGTTTTAAATGTACTTTCTCATTCCTGCCTAATAAAAAGACTGGCAGGTATTCCTGAAGAGACATCTTTACTATAGGCCTATAAATATTTTTTTAAAAAACAAAGATTCCCCCAATTATAAGAATAATATAAGCTCATTCTAAGAAAGATAATTGAGACAATAAGAAATTAATAGAAGAAAGTTCATCTTTAACCAGTGTATACTAAGTTTCTTATAGTTTGAGATTTTACATTTAGGTCTTTGATCCATTTAGATTTGATTTTTTTTTTTTGTATGGTAATAGGTAGGGGTCTTGTTTTAATCTTCTGCATGTGGTCAGCCAGTTTTCCCAACACCATTTGGTTCCCCTGTCTCCAGTGGTTGGTGGTGGAGCCTTTGTCAAAGATGAGTTGGTTGAGAAATTGAGGGGTAGAGGGGCGGTGGGATTGGCAGTAGTGGGAATATGTCGGGGGATGGGAGGTACACCTCATCAACAAGGGTACCTGCATAATGAATATTTGTATACCGAATCCCGAATTGGACCCCACATCTTTAAAACTAAAAGAGGGAAAAAAAAGCCAGCATATACATTTAAAATATCTAGGCAAATATATATATATGCTGCTACACATACATGTATAAGCAATTTTCCAAAAGAAGGAGATTGTATCTGATGTTTTTATAAATGGCCTTCTCTTCACCCCACACACAATATGTTTATTTGTTACATCAGTTTATATGGCCACCAGGTATTTTATTTCATAGCTGTACTTTAATTTAGTCAACCTTCAGTGGAAGATATTTAAAGTTTCACCAGTTTTTCACAAAGATATACAGTGCTCTGATGAGCATCCTGGTTTCTACATCTGTGTGTACTTATCTAGTTATTTTAGGATGTATACCTAGAAGTAGAAATACTGTTTTAAGGTGTGAAGATGTAACATTGATATACACCAAAAAGTCTTATTTTTCAGTTTATACTCCCGCTAATTATATTTTCATATTCACTCTTCTACACCTTAATCTGTACTAAGTGTTGCCAATCTTATCCTTTCCTCTGAGTAATATGTTTTCACTTATATTTATATTTCTTTTGATTAGTGAGGTTTTTTCCTATCATATGTCTGTTGATCATATTTTTAAATGAGTTTTCTTTTTTTGTGCTTTGCCTGTTTTATATTGCCATTTATTATTTTTATGATTCACGACTTTATATAGTACAAATATTAGCTTTGTTGTATGCTACAATTTTCCACTCTGTTTTTTGTCTTTAAAATCATTTCAGATGAATACATTTGTGTTACTATGTGTGTGTATAATACTATCTGTCGTCATATGTTGCAAAGCTTTTTTTTCCCGTTTGTTATTTACTGTCAAATCTTACTAAGGATGAATGGAAGGTGTGAGAGGTGAGGGATGTTCTTGCCATACCAAGGTTTTAATATTTCTATGATCAGGTTATTTTCTTCATGGCATTTGAATATCATGTATTTAGGAAAGCCTTTCACTGAATATTAAAAATATATGAATCCATAGTTTCCTCTAATTTTTCTTTGGTTTTAATTGTGTAAGTAAAATGAGTCCCCTCCTACTTTAAAAGTTTCTTTTAGAATCAAATAGCATAATTAAGCACAGCCCTGCAGCCTCCTGAAAGTGCATACTCATCATGACCTAAACAGCATTTGAGAGCTTTTCTTCTGTTGCCGTCTTCTGTGTCCTTGCCTCACTTCCACTGCCATTCCCTACATTTTATTATTTAGCCTTTCTAGGTCTTATTTATATCTATCTTCAAATTAATTTCTTCTCCATTTTCCCCATCAGAAAATAAAACCACGAGATAGAGATGAAAAGCTCTGCTTCTTTTATCTTACAAAGATGTCATTATACCTACCACATATTCCTGTTTTAAAGACAAATACAAGCAAAAAAATCTAACTTCTGACTCCTTAAGCATGTACATTTTATAGTTGCAATAAATCCTGATCCAGTGCTGTGGCACAGGGTTGTTCCCCCTCATTTATCATACCTATTGAAACATTTTTATAAGTGAATCCAAAAATGTCAGGAATTTAAACATCTGGCCTAATTAAATATTCATCACATGTAAGGTCAAAGTCACGTGAGAAATTTTAATATAAAATATCTTTTGCTCTGGTCTTTACTTTTAAAACTATGGGCTTTGTCGATATTTTAACTGGAATTGCAGTTCTGATTTCTATGTTGTGTTTCATCAAGGCAGAATGGTGATCTCAATGAAGACAGAATGAAATTCGTACTCACTTGCTTTCTGCCAGCTCTGGAAGTTATGGCTACACTTTCCTTATGCAAATAGAATGACTTTCTTCCTGTCATAACAAAAAGTCTTGGGACTAAAATATTTCATACTTGGTCCTTGCTCCAAACTATTTGTTATGAGAATGGAAGTGTTCCATGTATGGAAAAATAGCTGCTTCTTAAATTTCCAAATTCTCTGTTCCAAAACAGTGTCTTGTTTGTTAAATAATGGCTTTTCCTGCCTTTCTTTTCTCTCACAAAAAGATAGTCTGTAGTACTAAAAGTTAAATGCTTAGCATGATGGAATTCTAAAAATTATGTCTGCACACTGAGTAATTTGAATGTTGCTAATTTGTCATTTTTTTTGCATATAAGTGAATAGCTAGGATATGTTTTTCATAAGTTTGTCTTTTAAAAATATACATTTTTATTTTATTTTATATGAATCAGGTTTTCTGAAATAGGCACTAGCCCAAGGCTATGAGCATGTCTAGTTCATGTGTATATATACATATACACGTACATGTACATTTTTCATGTACATATTGCTTTCTAAAAGCGTTGGTATAGTTTTACATAGAAATTATATCCTCATGGCTTCCAGTTGATTACTGGTTTTTTCCTGCAAACTTGATCATATTGATCAAAAAATAACATTGGGTATCTATGTGGCATTTTATTAATGATTATTAAGTTATAGTGTTGACCTATGTCATGTTATCAGAGTATAATCTCTTATAGATAGCATATCCACTTTATTTTATGCAGCTTTTAATTTATATCGTTGTTATTGAAAAGTTGAGTAAGTATGCAAATTGAATAATTTTAAATATCAGAGGCATGTTTGTAAGAAACCTTGAGACAGAGTTAGTTTTTGTAAAGAGAAATCATATTTTATCTCATACATTTATCTGTTTAGAATGCTTGCTTTTAAATTAAGCATTTCTTCACTCAAACTTGGCAGGGTAGGGGCTAGTTTCTATAGTGGTGAGAATCTGGGAACAAGGACATTCTGCATTTATATAAGTGTATCTGTGAAAGAGTGGTGAATGTTCCAAGTGGTTTCCAGTAAAAAGTTATTTTCCTCTTAATTTTCTCTTCTGAGGCTAGAAAGGACCACAGATACTCTATATTGTCTTAAAGCATTCTCTACTTTGGCCAGACAAAGAAACTGGGTACTACTGTAGTCCTTCATTGCTGGTTGAAAATTCCTGTCCAGTCCTCAAACCTCTTAGAGGTTGTTAACACTTTTCATATCAAAAGGAGCTTCTGCTTGTTCCATAGCAAGTCATTCATTTACAACAGTGGAACTGGTAGCCCAGTTGAGGTTTGATATATGTCTCTACTTTTCTTCATTTACTTTACGTTAGAAGATTGCAAACTTTTTCTTAAAAGGCCAGATAGTAAATAGTTCAACTCTAAAACAGGCCATATGGCAATAAGGTAGCAAATGGTCATGCTGTGTTTCAATAAAACTTTATTTAATAAATCTGTATATAATAAAACAGGTGGAGGGCTGAGGAGGCAAGTTTGCCAACTGCTATTTTCTTTAAGTTTCTTGAAGCCAGAATCCAAGGATGGTAGAAAGACCACAGAGAGAAATAACCAGGCTGGGAGAATTTGCTGGGAAAAAGCCCCAGCAAATTCTGAGCAACCATCTTAATTTCAAGAATTGCACTAGGCATAGTGGTTAAACCGGTAATTAACCAGATGTGTCCCTGCCTTAGTGAAATTTACATTTCTTACATAGTGTACATCTTTTGTTTATTAACCCTAACATGGGTCAGAAATAACATGCAATAAGGAGTAGCTTGGTTTTATGCATTTTCCAGAAAAAAGATACATAGAAAGCACTTAAAAGAGCCCAACCTAAATTCTTTACCTAATATAAGATACCCCTGTAATTCTCAAAATCAGTGATTCTCAGCTTTGACTCTCCAATACAAACACCTGGGAGGAAATTAAGCTTCTTTTCATTACCCTAAACCAGTTAAATCGGAGTCTTTGGGGGTTGGGTCCAAAGAGTCCCAGAAAATGTCATTGTGCAGCTGGAGTTGCAAATGGTGACTTTCAATGAAATTGATTTCATGTGTGATAAAAAACCTTAAATCCAAAATGGTAGAAAATCTTAGTTGTGTTCCTCTAGAAATGAGTATTTATTTATTGAGTTTATTTTCTGTAACACTTGTCAGTCAGAGAACACATATTATTTAAATTTCAGGTTTTGAATGAGCTTGTGCGTTAATATTATTTTTAATAATGCTCTTTGACTTTCTACTCTTAAGTTAGTGTATTGAAGGTCTGTTATCCTTTTTTCACTTAATTGTTCTTTTTAGGATACTGCTGGTCAAGAGAGATTTAGAACATTAACTCCTAGCTATTACAGAGGTGCACAAGGTGTTATATTAGGTAAGTGCTTACTTTAATCTACTGTTTAAAAGTATTGTTTCTTGGAATTTCTGATTTTCCTAGTCTGTGAAGGTCAGTAAGTTTTTGTTTAATTTTCTTTAGGGCTATGTTTATGTAAATTGAAGTTGTATTAACTTCATTTAATATTAATGAGTATTAAAACTTTTAAATTTGTTTTCAGCTCTTTATCTAGCAATTAAACTAAAGACAAGGTCTGAGCACTTTGGGAGGCCGAGGTGAGGGACTTGCCTGAGCCCACGGGTTTGAGAACAGCCTGGGCAACTTGGTGAGACCACTTGTTTACAATAAGTCAAAAAATTCACCGGGCGTGGTGGTGTGCACCTGTAGTTCCAGCTACTTGGAAAGCTGAAGAGAAAGGATTGCCCGTGCCCAGCAGGTTGAAGCTGTGGTGGGCAGCAGAGTGAGACTCCAACTAAAAAAAAAAAAAGAAAGAAAAGAAAAGAAAATGCTTTAAATTAATAAGCTCTTTGTTATAATACAGGATGATATAAGCTGAAAGTGATAACAGAGGAAGAGAATCAGGACTCACTGACTGTACTGTAATTTTTCAAAGTTGCAAATTCTGGTTCTTAAAAGAAATAAGTTAACAGGGTCATTGATATTTACATTCATGTGAAATTTTGTTATATTTTGCTACAAATTTGATTTTAAATACTCTGATTTTTGAACAGACCTCTTTCATCATTATGAATGGGAACAGCTGTTGTTTTGCTTTAATTAGTTTTGATTTATTACACAGATTATAATTTCATTTCTGTCACAGTGTATGTTAATAAGATTGAAATGTGTGTGTATGTATGTTTTTTGTTTTTTCCTTTAAAAAAAAATCACTTGTTTCTTCCATCTGAATCAGTAGATACTCATTGTTAAGCAATGAAGGCTTAACAAAGAACAGACTCCTAATGTTGGCGCCTAGCTACATATTAGGAATATAATGTCAACTGCTTTTCTAAAAATGTAGTATATTATTTATTCTGTCCATTAAAAACTAATATTTCAGAACATTTACAATATTAATTGAACATAAGGGAAGAACGATTTACTTTTTTTTTAACATCCCAGTACTGGGTACTACTAAGAGGTGGTCAAATTTATTATGGTCAAAATTGTTAAGTCAAAAACAAATTAATGCTTGGTTTTAGTATGCCTACATACAATTCAGTTTTTGGCTAAAGTTCTTTGGCTGCATGAAAGAACATTTTGTTTACTTCACTAATAGGAATATCTGGTAATGCTGGAATGGCCTCTTGGCATTTATTCTGCTGTTGATTTTTTACATAGTTATCTGTGATTGTATGAATGGAGTTGAGTAAAGAGGTACTCATCATATTAATTTCAAACAAGAGTACATAATCGATTACAATAGTAATGAGGTACATAGGTAATGTAACTGCCCAATATTTTTGAAGCTAATAGGTTAAGCCTAAGGAGTTTAGCCAAGATTCAGGAATAAAAGCCCACATGAGATAAAGTATGAAGCCAAATTGGGAGCTTACAAAAAGAACAAACCCATAAATCGCTCTTTCTGGCAATGACAACAGTGAATTTTCCACCATTTTCCCCATGGCTTTAGACAATCTTGACCACCTCAGCGCTGAGTTCTCTGTGCAAATGCTGACCAGGGAATCATGGTGGGGTGGGGAGGGGAGAGGAAAAACTGAGGAAAAGGCCCAGGCGCGATGGCACCCCCAGCCCACGTGTAGGTACACGACTGCTTCTTATTTTTAATGCTTATTTAATAAATTACTTTTTCCTTTGATTTCAGTTTATGATGTTACAAGAAGAGACACCTTTGTTAAACTGGATAATTGGTTAAATGAATTGGAAACATACTGTACAAGAAATGATATAGTTAACATGCTAGTTGGAAATAAAATTGATAAGGTAAGAAACAGCAGATACCTGGCATCTTGATTCTCTGTTTTGGTAGCTTTTCTTAATCACTGTATTTATCTTTTAGGAAAATCGTGAAGTTGATAGAAATGAAGGCCTGAAATTTGCACGAAAGCATTCCATGTTATTTATAGGTAGGTGAATGAGTGAATAGCTACCCTTTCATTATTATTTATTTTTTTTAGAAAGCAATATTTATTAGGAGGACAGAAAAGCTTCCATAGTGGGAGGGGGCCCAAGGGGATTGCCCCTCTTTCGTTATTACTGAGGAATTTTTAAAAGGAGTTTTTACTAAATTTATTTCTCTATGAACCATAAAATATTTTTATTCATAGTTTCATCATGCTACAAAATCTAACTATAGAATGAGGTTCTTTATTTTTCTTTCTGTAAAAATAAAGTTGGATCACATTCTGTGAAATCATTTAGCTCACAGTCAAGCCATTCCTCTCATGATGCACTGGCATTCAGTAAACTTGGCACTTCTGAAGTTGTGCCTTGCTGATCCTTATGCTGTAGCATCAGCACCACCTGGGAGCTTGTTGGAACTGCTTCAGCTCAGGCCATACCCCAGATTTTGGGAATTAGAATCTGCATTTTAACCAGATCTTCATATGGTTCATATGCATATTGGTGTTTGAGAAACTTGGTCAAGCAAGGGTTGGCAAACTACAGCTTGGTTCAAATCTGGCTCCACCATTTGTATTGGAACACTGTGATGTCCATGTGTTTACATGTTGTCTGTGGCTGCTTGTGAGTAGCAGCCATATGGCTCTCAAAGCCTTAGGTGTTCACTGTCTGGCCCTTTACCTAAAGCATTGGCCGGTTCCTCATCTAGAAAAGTAGACTAGCTTATCAGAATCACCAGGGGAGCTTTCTAAACTTACAGGTCTTTGTGCCTTATCACAGTTCTGAAAGGCAGTTTATTTAAAAGCACTTTAGTCAATTGTGATGTGAAGCCAATGTAGGAATTACTGATTAGCCATTCCATGGTGTTAGAAGCTAGTAGGAATCTGCAGATGGAATCGGGAGAATGTCCTATGTAGATAGGAGCAGGGTGAGATAAGTGGAAAGTTCAGGGGTTTTCAGAAAGGAATTGAGTACTGCCTTTACTGCTTACTTGTTGCATGTCCCTCATTTCCATTCCTTAGTTTATCCAGCATTTGCTGAACACCAAGGATATAACAATGAACAAAACAAACAAGCTCCCTGACCATGTGGAGCTTACATTCTAGTAGGGGACTCAGATTTGAATAAGAAAGTAATGCTATGCAGGAAATAGAACATTGTAAGAAGAAAGAGAATGACCTGGGTGGGGGTTGATGAGAGATAAGCACATTGACCTGTAGTGTTCAGTGTCTGGAAGTCAAGGGAAAGAAGAGAAAGTGATAAGGAGTGTCAAATGCCAAAGATGTCAAATAAAATTATAGTGTTGGAGTTGACTAGGTAAAGGGTGTTGATGGTCTTGAAAAGAATCATTTGAATGAAGTGGGAACAAAAGCCTAATTAGAATGGTTTGAAGAAAGAAAGTGGAAACAGCTTATATAGATAACTCTTTACAGTTTTCAAGCTGTAGAGAAATGGGTGGCTACAAGAAGAATATGTGGACCAGAGGGTAAGTTTGTTTTTTATTAAAATGGAAAATAATGTGGCAGACCTTTTAGGCTGATTGATTTGATCCAGGAGAGTGTATGATACTTCAGTGAATGAGAAAGAATGAGAATCCAGAGACTAGAGAAGGGATGGTTTAGAGATCTCATCCATTGTAACAGCAGCGAAGGCAGAGTGCAAAGTCATTTAGGCAGGGAGCTTGGTGAATTTTATTGGTGGGATGTTGAGATAGTTCTTGCCAGACTGCTTCTGTTTTTCTCAACGTAATACCAGATCATTAGATAGAGGAGTTTTGAGAGGAAGGAATAAAATAGTCCCCTGAGATAGTGAGAAAAGTAATCACTAAGGAAATGGAGATTTGGGAAGCAGTGCTGGGTGTTCACTGATTTCATGAGCCTAAGTTCATGGTTGTGTGTCATATTATCCAGCACCGATAGCTACCTTTGGCTGCAGGCACAGAATAATTAGGTTAATTGTTTAACTTGGAGCGTAAATTGTCTTATTTTAAAATAGGAGTAATATTTGCTTTGGGGCTAGTTTTTAAGGAAAAAGCCTTGGCATAATGTTGGATAGGGCTTTATTCTATCATATAATCTTGGAATTGTAGACCAGTATTCTTATGGGTAGAATTTAAATAGCTAAATTTTGAGAGTTGGGGGATATTCACTGATATTAAACCTGTGGGGGAGAAATTGCTGATTTGTCTCTTAATATATTGTGGGCTGATATTTATGCTATAATAGTTTCCCAGAAAAACATGGAATGGCCAGGAAGGAATGTACTGTGACATTTTTCCTTGAATTTCAGAGGCAAGTGCAAAAACCTGTGATGGTGTACAATGTGCCTTTGAAGAACTTGTTGAAAAGATCATTCAGACGCCTGGACTGTGGGAAAGTGAGACCCAGAATAAAGGAGTCAAACTGTCACACAGGGAAGAAGGCCATGGAGGAGGAGCCTGTGGCGGCTATTGTTCTGTGTTATAAACTCTGGGAAATTACATCTCTTGCATATTTGATCAGATAGTGACATCTTTCTGTATATAAACTCCTTAACTGCTATTTTAGGGACCTTGCAGTTTGCACATAATTGTTTTGTATCATGGCAGTAAATATTTGCAAGAAATCTCACTCATCAGTTTTCCCAGGTAAAATGTTATGGTAAGCATGCACAGTTTGCAGTCTACAGTTTTTAATGTAACAAAATAGATGTACCTTTATAAGTATCTTTGATTTTATGATTTACATTTATCATGTACTTTTAAAAAAATCCATCTATCTAGTATGTATTGATACAAGGTCTGCTTTTGGTCTTCTTTTTGCTTAAATACTTCTGTCAGTTACTGAATTACTTGGTATATAGAACTCCTAGAACCAGAGAAGAATACAGGTATCATCAATCCTGGCAGATTTCCTTTCAGGAATAACAAAGAGCATGATTCCATAGCTTTTCTAGGATGTTTGAGATTCTCCTTTAGTACTAAGCAAAATTCTCATCCCAGAAAGTGGCCCAGGCCAATTTATAATTAAATATCTGTTGTGATGATACTTCTAAAATAGCATTGATATGTTAGAGAAGTTTAATATTACTTTTTAAAATTTACTTCAATGATTAACTCAGTTGGTTAACTGGAGTTTTAATTTTGCAATATGTACATTGGATCTATAACTCTATGCAGCATTTTAAGTTATGTGGTGTTTGGCAGAATGGCAATAAGGTTTTCCCCCCATTTTGGCTTCGGAAGGACATGAACAGCATATTTATTGTGACTCCAGTACTTACCACTTTTAAAACCAACATCTTTTTTCTAAATGTTGGTAGCATTTGTCCATGTACCTTAATCGTATTATGTAGCTTATGTAATGTTGATGAATATCTGTATCGTAGGACTTCCATTATGGCTAGTGGAGAGTCAGAATCTATTTCTGTGTTTTGAAGGGTGGGATAAAAAAAAAAAAAAACACTAAATGATGATTTGAGAAAGACATATTGCTTCTAGATTCTGATGTGTGTGGGAAAATACCGTCACAACAAAAGTCTTGATAATTTACTGTAACAAGTAACCAATAGTTAATCAGAACCAACTTGTACAGACTAATAAATCTTTTTCACAGTTATTCAGTTTTCTTACCTCTTGCTATTGTACATTGTATATTTTTTCACTCATATGTTATTTAATTTACATTGATCTCTGCTATTTTAAGCTCCTAAATAAGTCATTTTTCCTTTAAGGTGGGTCACTAAATACCCCTCAGTAAAATTTCAATATTATATTTCTGGACAGTTTGCTCTTTACACAGCATTTGTAGTTAAGTGGTGTTTTGAAGGGTGGGATAGCATTTCTGTGGGTGATCTTTGCAGAATATGTGTTAATGAACTTACTTCAAGTTGAGTTTTTTCTGAAATGTACATCTTTACATATGAAAACCTCACATTCTACTTGATTTACACTTTTTAGATTACACTACATATGATTGACGCTTTTATATATTCTGTATGTTTTTGCTAAGTATAAAGCATATACTACTATAAGTTTGGAAAAAGAGCTAACACATGTACTTATGATTTGTTCATGTTACATTAAAAACCTTAGATTTGTGTATTTATGTAGTCTGTACTGACAAGACTTTTCTATGTATTGCTTTTTGCTCCTTGAGCTATATATATAACAATCTTTGTGTATTAGATTGTTTTGATTTGGTCTGAACTTGGATACATATGAATCCCTTGAATATAACTTTTTAAAATTAATTTTGTTTGATAGATTTATATTGTAACCTTTTTATAGTTGAATAAATTTAGCCTGCTTTCCCTAGATTTATTTGTGCAGGAAGTATTCTGCATTTCCCTATTACTCTCATCAACTGAGGAATACTTAATATTCAGATTTTATTGCATGACTTCATTTTCCTATTTTGTTGCAAGCTTAGTGTTTTGTAGTTAAGGTTTTGTAAGTGAGATAATTATAATGTCTAAAAGCAGTCATCTACATTAACAGGATTTTGTTAATTATTTTTGTAATTACTTGAAGTAGTCTCAAAGGGCCTTGGGAAGATAGTACAAATTGGAACAATTAGAATATAGTATTCTGAGTACTAGGAGTACTGAAATAGACCCAAACAAATAAAGAACTATTCCATTTATAAGTAATAGTTAAATTTATTAAAAGCTTTCTTGGTGTTAGGTGCCATTCTTTTTTTTTTTTTTTTTGAGTTGGAGTCTCACTCTGTTGCCCAGGTTGGAGTGCTCTCTCATCGCCACTCCACATCAACCTGCTGGGCTCCAGTGATCCTTCCGCCTCAGCCTTCCAAGTAGCCAGAACTACTGGCTCACACTACCACACCCGACTAATTTTTTTTTTTAATTGCAGAGATGAGGTCTCGCCAAGTTACCCAGGCTTGTCTCTTGAACCTGCAGGCTCAGGTAATCCACTCGTCTCGGCCTCCCAAAGTGCTGGGATTATAGGCTGAGCCACCGAGCCCAGCTGTCAGGTGCCATTCTAAGTGCTGACTTATTTCATTAAACCCCACAGCAACTTTAAGAGTACTCCTGTTACACCCACCTTAAAGATGAAGATAATGAAATTGGTGCATTAGGTAACTCTCAAGGGTTACATAGCTTAGGCAGGATGGAACTGTATTCCAGTTGAGGCATTCCCACTCCCAAGCCCATGCTCTTCACTGTTGCCCCTTTTACTATAACTGGTTACTAACGTTTTGTTTTAACACAATTGAGCTAAAGGAGTTTCCCTGTTTCTCAGTCACTCTCTTTTGTTATGTGTAATAGAAGTACTTCAGATTTATTAGTTATAGAGTAAATCCCATTGATGTAAACCTACCCCACAAGTCATGTGACCTAAAAGCTTCTGTAGTAGAGTAGGTAGTCTCTTAGTTCTGCTTTCTCAGAGTGGAATGAAAATCCCTGACCTAGAAAAGGTATAAAGTTAGGGGACCTTCATTTTCTATTTGGTGTTGGACATGGGAAAAGAAATTAAGTATGGAAACAGTCCTTTGAAATCTAGGTGGAGCTGGGCTCGGTGGCTCAGCCTGTAATCCTGCGCCTTGGGGAGGCTGAGGTGAGTGGACTGCCTGAAACCCGCGGGTTTGAGACCCGCCTGGGCAACTTGGCAAGACCTCATCTCTACAATAAATTAAAAAAATAGCCGGGTGTGGTAGCGTGCACCTGTAGTTCCAGCTACTTGGAGGGCTGAGGCAGAAAGGATCACTGGAGCCCAGCAGGTCGAGGCTGCGGTGGCCAGGAGCAGACACTGCACTCCAGTCTGGGTAACAGAGTGAGACTCCAACTAAAAAAAAAAAAAAAAGAAATCTAGGTGGATGTTTTCATTTCAAGTATTTGGTTTGCCATCTTTAAACCCTTGATTTTGATTCATTGTAGGTGACATACTAAAGAAATATACATGAATCTCTATGAAGTGTGGGACTAGCACCATAGCTGATAAGGGAATCCTTTTTATACCAGTACTTATTCTACCTGTGAGTTGGCACAGACTTACCTCATAGCTACAGTATTTTAAAATACAGTTTAGTGTATTTTTTTCTGTATATCAAATGAACTGGATAACAAGCTTACCTCATATCTACACTATTTTAAAGTACAGTTTAGTGAATATTTTTCTGTATATTTTTTAAATGAACTGGATAACAATCCTTCAGTTATTATAGATTAGAGTTCTTCTCAGCATTCAAGCATTAGGCCTCTATTTCTTGGGGTCCATTTCACCAGTAGAAATTTTTGTCCTTCATGTCTTTCTGTAGTTAGATATAGGGGTAAAAACATTCAGCTTTCAGGAAAGCTGACTCCAACCCTGCCATGTACGCTCAACTGTGGACTTCACCCAAGGTTTTGTCTAAATTACTAAAAGACGAGAATAGATAGATATAGATAGCCTTGTGTGTAGACTTGGGGCTAAGGAATATAGAATTATCCAGAAATCTTTTTTTTTTTCTTTGATGAGAACATAAGGTTGGAGGACAAGAAAAAAGTCAACTTATAGGGGCCTTTAAATTTTACTATTTTGTTGCTAGCTTACTGTTCATCTTTACAAATCAGTGATGTTTCTGATATAAAGTTTGCTTAAGTACCCCTTGGTTAAAGCTGTTTTGTGTGTGTACACACACACACACACACACACACACACACACACACACACACACACACACATTTTGAACAATAGTGTGAGTGCCGTTCTGTCTTGCCCACTCTCATTCAGTCATACACATACAGGTTCTTTCTTTCTTTCTTGTTTTTAACCTGATAAGCAACAAATCATGTCGTTTTATTTGCATTTCTTTGAATACTAGTGAGCTTGAGCACTTTTAATATTTTATTAGCTACTTGTGTGACTGACTTCAATTTCATGTTCGTGTATGTTGTGGTTGCCCATCCAGCATCTACTTGCTTCTCTCGCCTTCTGCCTTCACCACTGCCTCCAGCCCCATCCCCACAAATAATCATACATGTAGTTTGGGTAGTGTGGTCACACCCTTGGCTTTCTAGATTTCCCCAGCTCCCTTTAAACAGTGCCCACTCATCCCCCCAATAGCAAATGGTTCAGGGGAGGCACCTGACACAGATCAGATTATTGAGATAAAGGAGGTGTTTGCTGAGGCTTCCTCAGGAACTATGGAAGAAGAAAGCTTCTTGGAGATAGTGTGCTATGAGGAGTCATGCTCTGAACTTGCAGTAGCTCATTTTTCTAATATAAAGAAACCAGTCTGAGGCAGCACCAAGGAAGTAAGAGGGAGTCTAAATTGGAGCCCTGATGCAGTCTGGAACCTCTGGATCAAATCGGACCTGAAGTGAGATCTGTTCTGGACTTTGGGTCAAAATGTGTATTTCTACGTTTTGATACATTTTGCTGCTAGCTTTCCAACAGTCTGTAACAATTTACATTGCCACTAGCAATATGTGAGTGTATTATTTTCTCTGTGTTCCCCATTAGCCTCAAGAAATGTTCTCATATTTTAATTTTTGCTATTTTGTTATTTGTAAGGTATAATTTTTAAGGAATAACTTATGTAGCTTGCATTTATGCAGAGTATTTTTTCGTGTTTGTACACTATTTAGAGTTGCTCGTTTTTTGAAATGATTATTCATATCCTTTGCCAGTTTTTTGTTTAGTTTTTTGTGTTTTTATTATATGAGCTCTTTGTATACTACAGATATTTATGTGCATGTTATATGCGTTTTTTTCTAAGCTGAGTTTTAGGTTTTTGTTTGTTTTTTTAAATTGTTTATTCTACATTTTCCCTACAAATTTTTTTGTAATATTATCATTTCTGGGCTCACCTTTTCTGAGATTTTTGTTTTTTTCTTCAAAAACCTTTAGTAACTTGGAATTAAGTTGTTTATGGCACAAATGAGGAGCCATCTCATCCTCCTTCATGTGTGTAGCCAGTTGTCCCTGCCCCCTACGCGAGTGAAGCCTACCTTTTATTGAGCTGAAAGGCCACTTTTGCCCCAGATGAAATTCCCATAAGTACTGTCATCTACTTTGGCATTCTGTGTCAAGGGCTCTTAACCTTGGAAAGTAATGTATTTAAGTGTAATTGGTTTTCTTTAATGCTGTGTACTTTATGTTTCAACAAACATTCTTAAAATGGCTCCACAGATTTCATCAGCCAGCCCAAGAACCTGGTAAAGCAAAAGATACAGTGATAGTGGCTTTATGTAATGTTTTGCAATGTGTAAGGCATGTCCTTCCTCACTCTTTCATTTTCTTTTTTTACATATGAATCTTAACAATTACTTTATATTTTGCCAGTTCTTTTTTTCTTTTGATGGGTCCTTTTTTTTCAAAATACATTCATATGAAGGAATTTTTTAATGAAACATGGATACTGCCCTTTTATCATTGGTATGTATTGCTGACATCTTCACCCAGTGACTTGTTTGAAATATTGCATACTTAAAAGTCTTAAAAACCAAAAACTTAATCATTTTAATGAATTTTTAACATTTCTGCAAATTGTAAGAAAACTACTGCTTTTTTTTTTTTTTCTTTTTCTTTTTTGAGTTGGAGTCTCGCTCTGTTGCCCAAGCTGGAGTGCAGTGGCACAATGACAACTTACTGCAGCCTCGACCTCCTAGGCTCAGGCAGTCCTCTTGCCTCAGCCTCCCAAGTAGCTGAGACTTATAGGCATGTGCCACGACTCCTGACTGATTTTTTGACTTTTTTGGTAGAGGTTGCCCAGGCTGATCTTGAACTCAGGCTCAAGCAATCTTCCCGCCTTGGCTACCCAAAGTACTGAGATTATAGGCATGAGCCACTGCACTCAGCCAAAAACTGTTACTTTATTGACAAGACTTGCTGTTAGAATACATGGGTATCTTTCTGTCTTCAGTTTCTGTACTGTTTTTAAATAATTTATCGTTTTCTTCACATACGTCCTGTACCTTCTTTAATAAAATAGGAGCATTTTTTTTTTATCAGTATGAACAGAATATAGGTTTTTCATTTCAGAATGTATGTGTGTAGTTGTCACTAATAAAAGCTGTTGACTTTTCTAGGTCTGTCAAGTTACCTGATCTCTTTAATTTGCTACTTTGGTTTTAACTATTTTTAAGATTTCTATGTAAACTAACAAAAATATAATTTATAATTAAAAAATATGTATGCATTTATATAAAGGAAATTACAGACATTTGTTTTATCTGATATCATTTTGAGTCTTCTCTGACAAGCATTTGGAAGAAGCCTCCCACATCACATCTGCTAGTTAGGCCTGCCC